GGGGGGGGGGGGGGAGATTGTGGTTAAGTTGTATACGGAAAGTAGGAGAGAGAAAAATATTACCCAACGTATTTAATGGCTAAACAGTAGGAAGTGATCATAAATACATATTCTGCTATAAAATCTAAAAGGTAGCTATAGAAAATAATATTTTAAAAGGATATTTATTTATAATAGATAAGGTATAAAGCTTTGTTATAGGAGGTAAAATTTCCTTATTTCATTGATACTAATTACCTCTTACTAAGCACATGTATCAAGTAAATCTGGCCACCAAAGCTTAAGTAGATGAAAAGAAATCACTTTTGTCTCTAATGGGATTTATGTCAACGATCTTGGGTGATTTTTACCCACTTTATTGTTCTTTGGCAATTAAAGTAAAGAACACATTCAAGTAATGTTTCTATAGCAAGACTATGCAAGGACTTCGAAAATAGACCCAACTGACATTTCCCTGGCAAGACTTGTGCATTGACTTGAGAATGGCACCATCTTCTAAACTTGAAATTGATTGATGTGAAGGAATCAGTCTTTTCCTAATTTCTTCACTTTGATTGTCTTTTTTTAAATAGCACACATAAAAATTAAAAATCGTCCTGAATTTCCGTTCTATAATACTAAAAGGCCAAAAAACGATGAATGTTCATGGCGAAACGATGACTATTGTTCATTAGGTCATTTTTTATGGGCCCCCAAAATTATAGACGAATCAGACCTAGTTGTCCGAATTCATGAAGATGACATGGATATTAGCACACAAATTTGAATCATCCTGAATTCCTATTTTATGACACTTAAATACCAAAAAACAAGGAACGTTCATGGCGAACCAATGATTATTGTTCTTTGGGTCGTTTTTAATAGGCCCGCAAAATTTTAGTCGACTCGGAGTCGGTCGGCTGAATTCATAAAGATGACGTGGACATTAGCACGCGAAAAATTAGAAATCATCTTGTTCCTGTTTTATGGTCCTAAAACGTTAAAAAAAGAGGAAAGATCGTGGTGATGCGATGACTATTATTCATTAGGTCATTTAAAAAACGAGGAATGGTCATGGCGAAATGATGACTATTGTTCATTAGGTCATTTTTATGGGCTCGCAAAAGTTTATGAGATTCGGGCTGGTCGCATTTATGTAGATGGCGTGGACTATAAGAATCATCTTAAATTTCTGTTTTATTACCCTAAAACACCAAAAAAGAGGAACGGTCATGGCGAAGCAATGACTATTGTTCATTAGGTCATTTTTATGGGCCCCATAAATTTTAGGAGATTCAGGGCCGGTCGTCCGAATTCATGTAGATGGCGTGGATTATAGTACATTAAAATTTGGAAATCGTCCTGAATTCCTATTTTAGTGCCCTAAAAAGCCAAAAAATGAGGAGCAGTCATGGTGAAACGATGATTATTGTCCATTAGGTCGTTTTTGAACGGCATTTTTATGAGATTCGGGGTTGGTCGTCTGAATTCATGTAGATGACGTGGATTATAGCACATGAAATTTTGGGAATTGCTCTGAATTCCTATTTTATTGCCCTAAAACGCCAAAAAATGAGGAACGATCATTTTTAAGAGATTCGCGGCCGGTCACTCAAATTCATGCAGATGACATGGACTATAACACCCGAAAATCTGGGAATCATCTTGAATTTCTGTTTATGGCCCTAAAATGTCAGAAATGAGGAACAATCATGGCGAAATGATGACTATTTACATTAGGTCGTTTATGATGGGCTCGCAAAATTTTAGGAGATTCGGAATCAATCGCCCAAAGTTATGCAGATGGCGTGCACTATAGCATACGAAAATCAGGGAATCGTCATGAATTCCTATTTTATGGCCCTAAAATGCTAAAAACGAGTAACGATCATGGCAAAACGATGTCTATTGTTCATTAGATCGTTTTTGATAGCCCCGCAATAATTTATGAGATTCAGGGTTGCTCGCGTAAATTATATGGGTGGGGTGGATGAAGTGGAGGTTAGCGTCGGGAGTCCTGTGTGACAAGAAAGTGCCACTGTTACTAAAAGGTAAGTTTTATAGAGTAGTGGTTAGACCTGCCATGTTGTATGAGACCGAGTGTTGGCCGGTTAAGAACTCACACATCCAGAAGATGAAAGTTGCTGAGATGAGGATGTTGAGGTGGATGTGCGGGCATACAAGGATGGATAAGATAAGGAATGAAGATATTCGAGAGAAGGTGGGCGTGGCCCCCATGGAGGACAAGATGCGGGAAGTAAGACTCAGATGGTTCGGGCACATTCAGAGGAGGAGCACTGATGCACNCTCAGATGGTTCGGGCACATTTAGAGGAGGAGCACTGATGCACCGGTGAGGAGGTGTGAGCGACTGACTGTGGTGGGCACGAGGAGAGGTAGAGGGAGACCTGAGAAGTATTGAGGAGAGGTGATCAGGCAGGACATGACGCGACTTAGGATTACTGAGGACATGGCCCTTGACAGGGAATTGTGGAGGTCGAGCATTAATGTTGTAGGTTAGGGGGAAGTTGTGAATATTTCTACAGCCTACTAGAGTGAGACTAGCCAGTTAGGAGTTAGTCTTAGGATGCTACTGGTCATCTACTGATGCAGGGCTTTATCTGCTGGATATTATTACACCTTCCATCTTTTTCGTATTTTCTATATTTCTTATATTGATGTTATTTTGTTATTTTATATTATGTTATGTTATTTTATTATGAGTCTATTGATAGTACTAATATATCATCTCTTGTTGCTTTATTGAGCCGAGGGTCTCCTGGAAATAGCCTCTCTGCCCCTCGGGGTAGGGGTAAGGTCAGCTTACATATTACCCTCCCCAGACCCCACTTATGGGATTATACTGGGCCGTTGTTGTTGTTGTTGGGGTTGGTCACGTAAATTCATGTAGAGGGCGTGGACACATACAAAAATCTGGAAATCGTCCCAAATTCAAGTTTTGTGGCCCTAAAACGCCAAAAATGTGTAACGATCATGGCGAAGCGATGAATATTTTTCATTAGGTCATTTTTGATAGGCCTGCAAAATTTTAGAAGATTTGGGGCTGGTCGTCCG